TTATTCGGACTTAGAATATTTTGCAACCAAATCAATTTGTGCAGTAAAAAGTGTTTTATTTACATAGTAATCAAATAAATATCTAATAATTAATCACAATTTAAGTTGTTATACTTATTACACCCAATCCATCTACCTCAACACCAGTCGTTTGTCCTCCTGTATGCTGGGACGCTACATTTGTATAACTAGAGTAATATACCTACGCCCCCGATCTGAATTGGATTTTTTATCAAAAATTAAACTTGGTTAACAAAATTTCTTTTTGATCTAATTTTGTTGTAATGTAACCTTTGTTTTTCATTTATTCTTTTTTATTTTTTCCTATAGCATTGATTAAATATACAATATATTTAATCAATGCCTATAGTCTATAATATTATATTTCTATCTCAGTAGTCAGTTTCTACTTAATTTTAATTATAAAAAACTATATAACTATTAATGATATGCTCAACAAGTCTACAAGTTGTCTATGTATGCATACTGCTCTCTTAATCTAAAAGGCAGTAAGCGACAACATTTAAAAACCGAGTTTATTATATATAAAAAAAAGGTTATTTTAAAGCTAATTTTTCGATTTTTTGGTAAAAATACCATAAATTATAAATACAATAAGGTTTTATGATAAATATTTTTAAATATATATATATATATTTATAAATAAAAGAATGATACTAAGCAAAAAGCCAAAAACCAATATCAAATGTATGCTAAGCAAAGAGACAGTAACTGATAATATTTTACGGTAATTTTGTTTATTATTGGCGTATTCGACAAATACGGTATTTGAGTATTTCGTTATGTATTGATAATAATTGTAAACCATGTTACACAAATACACAATATCTTAATATCATCATAGATATCATAATATCTATGAATATCATACATAATAATAATATTTTATTAAGATACCGTTAGTATTATTCATAGATAACATATTATATAAACTTTGTATAATATATATGTCTATGGTGTTATGTAACTGTTATTATAACCTAGGCCAGCGGTTCCCAAATTGTGAGGCGCAAGCTTTTGGCAGGGGAGGCGCGAGCCGCGTGGTAAATATTGATATTTTTAAATCAACAATAATTTTGTTGAAATGTCATAACTATTCCAAACAAATATTTCATACTGATGAAAAAAAA